TAGGAAATTTGACCACGTTCCCCCCATTAGTTACAAAGTAATACCTAACATGACTGATGTGTTTGATAATGGGCAGTATTCTTATCTAGAATCTGATAAAGGCGATGACAAAGGTACCGGTAATGAATCTGTTAATTTGCCTAATCTTACTTTGGGAAAAACTTGTAATAATTTAAACAATAATCTAAATAGTTTTAAGCGTTTTGGCCCCCCAAAAAATTCTATCAATAATCTGGATAAAGTTGACCACAATGTAGTAAAGATTTTGCATCAAAATATACAAAATGTTATAAACAGAGTTGAACCGTTGGAAGTCACATTGTCTGAAGTTAATCCTAGTATTATTGTGCTCTCTGAGCATAATATTAAAGACCATGAAATAACTAGCTTTAAGATTGATGGGTTCAAAGTAAATGCCTCTTATTGTAGGAAATCCTATGCCAGGGGAGGAGTTATGATTATGTCTAAGAATCATATTCAAAGCTCACAGTTTGTTACAAATTCCTTTGTCAGTGATTTATGTGAAGACAAGATATTTGAGTTCTGTACAGCTAAATTTACCTTTAATTCATTCACATTTATTGTTATAGGGATCTATCGGTCTCCTGGTTCTGATGTTTTTGACTTTATAAAAAGATTGAATATTTTAATTTTAAGTATTAATAAAAAATGTGATTATATTATAATGGCAGGAGATTTTAACATAAATATTTTAGATAACAACAATGTAACTAGGGAATTTACTAATTTATTAAGAAGCCATGGTTTTAGATACATGGTTGATTTTCCCACTAGGATATGTGACACTACTGCAACTGCAATTGACAACATAATTACTAACATCCCTCAGAATAAATTAAAGGTGTATGGGCTGATAACCGCTCTCTCTGATCACGATGCACAAGTTCTTGAAGTTTATTGGCCAGGGGCTGATGTAACAAAAAATAGTTATATAACACATTTCAAAAGAAAATACAATGATGACAATAAAAAAAATTTCCTTAGTATGCTATCAACAGAAAGTTGGGATGATGTGTATAATGCTACAGTTGAATCCAAATTTAACACTTTTTTTGACATTTTCTTTTATTATTTTGATAGTTGTTTTCCTAAAACAAAATGTAGAGTATATAATAAGACTAATAAGTGGTTTACATCTGATCTGTTTAAGGCTAAAGAGGAACTGATTAGTTTGACCAATCAACTTAGACAAGATAAATCTGATGTTAAATTAAAAAGTTTAATAAAGGAAAGAAAAAAAGATTTCACTGATCAGGTTATTAAGACTAAGAAAGATTTTTATAGTAATCTTATTTGCAATTCAAGCAATATCTGTAAAGCAACTTGGAATATTATTGGCAATGAAACTAAAATGAAAGAGAAAACAAAGTATGATAATATCAAGTTAAGACATGACGGATTGTTATTTGATAAACCTGAATATGTTGCCTCTATATTTAATGAATATTATACCACTTTGGTGGAATCTCAAATAGTACCTAATGCAAATCAATTGTCATCTGCAAATGGCTTACAACAAACCAAAAAAGTTAACAGCAAACTTGGTATTTTTGAAGCTATTACGTACTGAAGAGGACTTTGAGAGTGTACTAAGATCATTTGACAATAAATATTCTGCTGGATATGACGACATACCTATGCCTATCATAAAACTTGCCTCTGTTTTTCTAAAGAAACCATTAACACATGTAATTAACTCGTCTTTCATTTCTGGCATTTTTCCTATTAAACTAAAAGTCTCAAAAATCACTCCACTTTTTAAATCAGGTGATGCACAAATTGCTTCTAACTACAGGCCGCTATCTTTACTGTCATCCTTTTCCAAATTGTATGAGAGAGTCGTTGCACAGCAATTGACAAAATACTTGGAGTCTCACGAGATTATTTCCAATGAGCAACATGGCTTTAGACAAAACAAATCAGTCATAAGTGCAAGCACAGATTTTATAGAATCAGTCATTGATTCTATAGATAAAGGCGAGCAAACCGTAGGAATTTTCATCGACCTCAGCAAGGCATTTGATAGTGTTTGTCATACCAAATTATTAAGTATTCTTTCAAATTTTGGAATAAAAAATAAAGCTTATGATTGGATCAAATCTTATTTATGTAATCGAACTACTTTTGTTGAACTGAAATACGTAAACAAATATAATCAACTTATATCTTGCCGTTCCAGTAACAGTCCGTTGAAATATGGTGTACCACAAGGATCTATATTGGGACCTTTATTCTTTTTATGTTACATCAATAGTTTAGCTAATTTCAGTGATCAAAGTAAAATCACTTTATATGCAGATGATGTAAATATAAAACTATCCGGATACCATGCAAATGATATAGAAATATCTTCTTTTATAAAACTTAATGCAATCCAACAACATTTAGCTGATTTAAACCTTTTATTAAATAAACAAAAAACTAAATATATTAATTTTTCCGCTTCAAATAGGAAAAGTGGGTCTGTGGTAAAGAATGTTTGTCTTAATGATTCCTTTATTGATGAAGTTAAGGAAACAAAATTCCTTGGTTTAACTGTTGATAGACTTCTTAGCTGGAACACTCATGTATCTCAAGTTTGTAAAAAAATGTCAACAGGTATTTTCATCCTTAGAAAATTATCACCATTTTGTGATATTAAAACCCTTAAAGCAGTTTATTTTGCTTTTGTGCACTCTCATGTCTCTTTTGGTTTGTCGGTTTATGGTAACACCTCTAATGAAAATTTAAACATGATACTTATATTACAAAAAAAAGCAATAAGAATAATAATGAAACTTAAGTGGTTTGAGTCAGCCAGAGAACATTTTTCAAATTTAGGAATAATGACAGTTTACAACCAATTAATCTATGATCTGATTCTGTGGATAAAAAAAAATCAAAATAGTCATTGTATGCCAGGTTTTAATCACAGATATGAAACTAGAAATAAGAATAATTTTTGTTTTAATAGACATAAGCTAACATTTTATGAGAAGAAGCCAACATATTCAGGCATCAAATTTTATAATTCATTACCAGAAAACATAAAATGTATAACTGATTTTGGGTCCTTCAAAAAGAAATTGAAGTCATTTATTATTGTTAAACCTTTGTACAGTTTTAATGAATTTTTTTAAGCATATGTCGTCTGTAACAGTTAATTTAATTTCTTACAGTGATTATAATTTTAATTTATTATTGTATTATATATACTTGTACTTACTAGTTTATAATAGTACTTGTTGACGCCATTCTGTACTCTATGTGTACATAATGAATAAAGATAATTTTGATTTGATTTGATCAACATGGATTTCAGCATCGTATTCAGCGTAAAAGTCTTGTTTGAAACGGTGGGTCACAACCCTACCTTTACATTTGAAAAAATAACTTTGTATCAAATATGGTGGATCCAAGATGGCGGCCAAAAATTTAAACCCAGTCAAAATGAAATACTTGCTACTCTACAATGATCTGACGTGATTCGGAGTTTATATCTTAGAAATGTATAAAAAGGTAGGGGGGGGGACTCATTTAAAACTCAACCTGTATAAAACAATTCACAATTATTTTCCTTATAATTTTTTTGTTTTGAACAGCCGCCATTTTGAAATGACTTGATTATACTTGACCATTTTCAACCCAGGCCGAGATAATGTATTCAAGTACTTGTGTGCCAAATTTCATGAAAATCGGTTCAGGCATTCGGTCGTTATAGCCAATTCATGGGGACCCAGCATCCTCTTACGGCCGCCATTTTGATGACGTCATTACGGACGACCGAGGTCCTTAAAAATTGGGGTCTGGGCGGTTTTAGGTTCAGAAACTTGTATACTATAACCACCTAAAATTGCAGCCTCTCTGCCAGAACTGAAATATTCTGTCACTATATGCAGCTATACGACCCCACTAACAAATTTCTCTTTAAAAATCATCTGTAAAAGAAATTACATTTACACAGAACAAATTATGTAAAGAAATGTTAACCCTTCCCATACGGGCAAAATCGTGATAGAACGGCAAAAAATTATAGGAGTGGTGCGGGGTGCCAGGAGAGGGGGAGGCGTGGGAGAGGGATAGGTAAGGGAGAGAGGGGGGAATGTGGGAGAGAGCGCAGCCATGAAGAGAGCAGGAAAGGAAAGTGGCGCCTTGGTACCGCGAAACATCTGGTTACTACTCATTTTCTCAAGCACCTGCTAGTCTGTCTGAAGAGAATGCGGCTATATCCGCTTCCCGTCCGGAACATCAAAAACCATAAGCGGATATATCCGCCACCCGTTCTTTTATCGCCAAAGACTTATGCGGTCATGCGGATATATCTGTCACCCGTCCGGGTAGGGTTAAGTAATTACTATTTTATTGAATTTTCATATTCAAACATCTTTATTCATCATAACGTTTAACAATGGCCTTTAACCGAAACATAACACTTAAAGAATTTTTTTAACAATTATTTATTTACAATCTGTTCTTAAAACTAGAATATTAAAGAATATTTTATAACAATTTAATTTTAATTTTAACATGAGTAAAATGTATAAACCAAATATGTATACCTGACTTTACTGCAAATAGGCATACATATATTATATATATATATATATATATATATATATATATATATGAATTTGAACCGAATGGTGTTTTCAACCTTTGGGGACCTCAAAAAAGTAAATCGGTCACGGGCCAGGCCTAGGTCCTACCATGAAACCTGCGGTAATAGCTTATTCCCCATATGGGAAATTCGCTAAAACTGTTTTAGATTTTATAAGAGATTTGCGATATTTCTGTTTACAATATCTCGAGTTAATTTAGAGATCCAATCAATAAAAATGGTTCTTTTTACTCAGGTTAACTGCTATTATCCATTATTATTTATTACAGTACCCATAGCAACACATGTGTTACCTCATGCGTTACTTTATTCCAAAGCCCTGATTGCTTCTGCTGCTAGTGCTGTCTGCCCGTCTCACGTCTCATTAGTCCATAATGGAAAATGTCAATTTTGCTTCTTGGTAACATAACCTGTTGAGAAGATATTGTTTATAAAATTGTTAGGCCTAAAGAAGTTTTTCTTTTTAAAACATGTTAGGATATATTGAGTGATAAAATTATGAAATTATAATGCGATCGCGATGTGACTTAAGAGATATTTATTTGGACAATCTTGACTGTTGACATGGCTTTGAGTCTGCCATTGAACTGTTTTCTGCAATATTTATGTTTGGTATTTCTTATACCATCATGTTTTCCCTTTACATTAGAACCTGCAACAGTTAACAACTATACTGAGGGTAAGCTGATAATCTCAAAAGTGACTGTGATTAAGGTTAAGTACGGTATGCATTTGATTTTAAGTTTGTTAGATAAACAAAAGTTGAAAATGTTTCTCCCTAAATGACCTTTGATAACTTACTTACTTAGGCCTACAGCTCGTGACATCTAAGCTGGCACTTGGCCGATCGCTACTAGTAGGCCTACCTATTTCAAAAACATTATGTCCCGTTATGCGGGTTGCATCAACTGTCCTCGCGACCCATCTGAAGGAGCTGAAGTACATAATACAAGGGGAGTCAACCCCGTGAGGCAGCGGAAATGTTTGCAGTCCGGTCTTTTCCCTACCTCCACCCTCCTTCCGCCTACACTGCCCGCGCTAGGCCAAGTGCCAGCTTAGGTGTCACGAGCTGTAACTACTAGCCTATGCAAGAGTGAAGGAAGATTGGATCGATCTATTCACATTTCGCTCATTAAATGCAAATTTTGGTAACAATGCTTTGAAAATGTTCTTCAAGTTTATTTTTAAGTTAATTGTTGTACTCTGAATCCTAAAATGCCATCAGGCTAAGTTATAACTTATGTGTTGTTTTTTTTTATCAAACAACAGCCTGATTAGCCTCTGTCGGTTAGCCTAAAATGAAAGCTGGCTGCACTTTAGTATCCGTCCTACACTCATTCGGATGAAAATATCGATTATTTCAATTGATAAGTTATATCAAGTTCAGTTAACCTAACCTAACTAACCGAATGAATAATCGATAGGGATTAAATAATCTATATAGCCTATTGGTGTTTTTCATTCGAATGAGTGTAGGACGGATATTAAAGTGCAGCCTGAAAGCTAACCACTGTAATAATTGGTTACTAAGTTATTAAGGCCTAAGTTATGAAAAAATATTGCTACGGTATTTTTACCTCTGGAGTTTGCATAAAGATTCAATATTCCACACCATAAACTTAGGCCAAACCAAGGATTGTGGGACTTTCCTCGTTTCGTTATGAATCAAACGATACCAGATACTTTCCCGCCAAATACTCCAAATACAGGCATTGACAGGTGATGCCGCGGCTGTGGTCAACAACCTGACCTTGGCCTACTTGGAAGGGATTTGGCGTGCGACTCATCTAGTTTTTGCTATTTCTTAGTTTTAGTATTAGGCCTATCCTGTATATGACTTTATGTCCTGTCAAATGATGTAATGAATAAATAAATAAATATCGTTCGATTCATAACAAAACGAGGAAAGTTCTACTAACATTTATAATAACCCAACCTAACATAACCGCCGCAGGACGTATTTTAAGGGTGGCCTTTAGATAGCACCAAAGTACCGAAATTTTCGACTCTCCGCCCAACAGTGTAAGGAACCATGATTTACAGCGTTCTAGACAGAGATTAAAAACTTGCTCACAATAGGCCCCTGTACAGTTTTGAAGGACTCGCATACCACAATATAAAGTACCGGTAAGCCTATTTCAATGTTTGTACTGTAAAGTTTTGACAAGTGTACATTTTTGTAAATAAGTTATATTTATTTTTAATGATGCATTCTATCCGAGAAACTTTAGTCAAAGAATAAGACAACAAGTATACAAGTATAATTATTGTTAATTGGCTTTTGCAGGATTTGATCTCTGTTTGGAATTTACTGAGCTTGAAAACGGGAATGTGACTTTGGTTAGCAGTGACAAAGGACATCAAGAGCTCCATTTGTCCTGCCTACATGGATTCTTCCTTGAAGGAAAATCTGTAATCAACTGTGACAATGACCTTTGGACAAAGCCATATTGTGTGCACGGTAATTTAAACCATTTTGATGTGCTTGGTTTTAGACTCTATGGCAAACAAGTCAGTATCATTGTTTAAAGGCTAAGAGAAGTGCCTAAAATTATACTGGGTGTTAGTGTAGTACCTTTTTTCTTTTTTAAAGTGGTCAATTGTTATGTTTCATTGAAAGCCGATTTGGAGCTGCTTACAACAAGTCAATGTATTTCATAGTAGGCCTAGTAGCATGGTACAAGACATACTACCAAGTAACAAGACCATGGTTTACACTCTGTCCCAACAAAAACATTCTAAACAATACTGGCACTAAACAAAACTAAAGAAACACTAGCCTAATGCAACTAGTAGTAACCATGATGTAAGTTTTAAAATTCATAAAATATTTGGTTGAAAATACCTGTTTTTCCATCAGCTGAGCAATCACAGTTTTGAATCAAACGATTTTTATGGTGTAAAAATTGTTTCATGGATTGAACTATTAATAATTATATTTAAGGCCTACAGTACTTATGTCTTCAATCCAAATAGATGTAAGTAAATACAATATCTATGGTTCACATTTAGCCTATTCCTAAGAAAATATCCTCTTTGTCTTGGACTTGAAAAGAGTCATCATAAACACATGCACAGACACAAAAATATTAAACAAATACCTATATCCTATGGCCAAATAATAATAATGATAGTGGACAAATGGTGAAGCCAGCAGATTGTGAGTCACAAAAGTACAACAGGCATTTTTTTACTTTTTATTTGTATGAATTTGATCCAGAGGTTTTGCATGTTAAAACAATATAATATAAGAAACTAACAAATCCTTTTCCTGATTTAGAAGGCTGTGAGGAGCCTCCAATGTTAGCTAATGGTGAGATCCGAGTGGAAGGCTACAAGGATGACCAGCAGTATTATGCGGAAGGTGTTGTACTAGAGTACCAGTGCATGAACGGCTTCCATCTCTCGACTCTGGTCAAACGCAGGGTGTGTGAGAAGGGAAGGTGGACTGGCCAAGACCCTTCATGTGGTGAGTATCTCAGAATTTGGCTGATTTTCATTAATTTATCTTGAAGGGTGAGTTGTCTTACTGGATATAGAAGTGAGGAAGAGGTAGATATTTGATAAGCCCATGGAGCCCAATAGTGGTAAAGTGCTCATCAACTTATAAGGAGTACTTATTAGAATGCTTATCCTTCCCTCATCTTTGCCAGTGTTTCACATCGTTAAGTAAAATTACTGAAAGTTTAAGAGATTGTGTGGCCCAAGGTGAAACAAACTCGCATCATGTAGGCCTATGCTTCATTTAGCATAAAGTCTGTGTCCTGGATGTATTGCAATTCATGTGATATTCTCTAAGAGGTATTGTTTAGTGTATAGTGTTTTTTGGTTCGGTATTGATTTAACTTTACTTTGTTACCTTGCAATAACCTTTGATGTCTGGCTAAACCACTTGTTTAAATAATAGATGTACATTCTTTGTGTCAAATGGGTCTATGTATAACCATGTTTAATATTAAATATCATCAATTATAGAAGAAGATAATCTTGGAGACGTGGCAGTCACCACGAAACACATAGTTTAGTCAGACATCTAAGGATATTGCGATGTTACAAAATATATAAGGACAATGCAGTTTTATGAGATATGGACTGATATTGATTAAGGACCAGGCTCTTACTTTTGATATTTTCAGAGCCTGACGGTTGTTCCAAGCCCAACTTATTGGTGAACGGCCACTTTGTCCCTGACTACGACATCAGCCATTACCCTGTCGGATCTTATGTACACTTCTCATGTGAAATAGGTTTCCAACTTCAGGTACTATATGAAACTATTTTCCACCTTTGTATTGTGCATAATGATAATATTAGGTATTGGGTTAGAAAAATTATTAGTTTAAAAGTTTTGACTTGCTATTTACTCCCTTTACAATATTACAATCCCAACCACCTCGAGGCATTTTTTCAGTGCTTTTAGGTGTGTTAAAACCTAGTAAGTGTCTCAGAATTCGGCGTGAGAGGGATGGGTTCAATTCCAAGGAAATCTCTAATAATTTTAGGAGTTGAAGCGGTTCACTTAAAAGTTTTCAGAGCTATGATGACATATCTATAAATAGACATTGTTGATTAAAACTTGTGTCAATTTCCTAGTTTACTGGAGCTGATTTTTAAATATATAAAAATTCAAATTATACACTCTAATTTAAAAGAGTTTCATAAATAGTTTTGTGCCCTGAGCCTAATTTCATCAACCTATGTTTCAGGGTGTACCCACAGTCCAATGTGTTGGAAATAGTGAATGGTCGCACACTCTGCCCCAGTGTTTAAGAGTTGTACAAGGTAACTAACCTTTTTGATGTTTTATTCCTACCTAATAGTGATTATACTAACGGGTTATCTCACTGGTGGTTTTTGATCAGTGTTAGCTAAGTGGTTGGGGCATTGACGTTGGTGAAGAGGGAGGTTTGATCCCCGACATTTATCAAAATATTCTGAGGTTTTTTTAAACGGTTTTTATAAAAACAATTACTGCTCCCTCCAAAGAAACGACACATAATAAAAGAACAAAATTGTGACCAAACATTTAATTTTCTGAGGAAAAAATTTAATTTGCACTTTATTTTTTGGGTTTTGAATTGCTTCAGAAATGTTTAAAACTATTGTATCTATTTAGTTCATATAGGGAGTTGTGTAGAGCAAGTGTTTCTGCTCCTTGTTGTGTGAGCAGAGGGAGTAATGTTCAAAAAATACCAACAGCAGACAATCAACTATTGCTTTAAGTAGGCCAGTCTACTTGATCTGGTTTTGGAAGAAGTCTGAAGTTGGTGTGGAGTGTTTGGGAGACAGGGTCTTGATTCTTGGGGCCATGTTTAGATTTTCCAAATTGGGGTTTACGATGTTTTTCCTGATTGTTGATTTTTTTAAATTAATTATTAGCATTCATATTTATAGACTACTCTACATTATAATTTTGTTCTTAAATTGATTTTAAGTTGAGAATAAGAAATATGTTGATTATGCAAGAGTGTTTTGAGTTCCAGTCATACACGTGTTCAAATTAATTATTCATAGACCAACCAACAAAAGCCAGGTTTTACCAATGCTACAATGTCCTTGATAGAAAATGTTTCTTCGTACTATGTCACAAATGTTTTATTTAGCCTATGTGTTCAGACGAGGGGCTGCCGTGTGCCCCACCGCCCCTGGGCCCCCACGTGGTGGTCACAGCTGTGCGGGGACTGCAGAGTGCTAACTCCGCCATCTCCGGCACTACTCTGGAGGCCTCCTGTGAGACAGGCTACCGAGACCAGATCAACCCTTGTGTGCCCTCACTGCTGCGCTGCATCGACGGCAACTGGCAAGGCCACTTCGCCAACTGCGGTTAGTAGAAAATACTTAACTATTCTGTGTTTATTGGTGAGCCCTTGAACATTAGGCCCTCTCTCACACTGATTCTCATATATCATAAAATTTTATGAAGAAAAGGATCAAAACTCAAAACATGATATTTAACAGTCCTATGTATTTTATAGGTCCTATGTGAAAAGTATGTGATACCGCTCAGGCCTAAAACACTTGAAACTTAATAAAAATCTTAAAACTTTTGACTTACATGGTTTTGACACCATTCCATGTTCTGATATACACTATGAAATAAAGACCACTTGATTTGATTTGATATATTTCAAAGACCAATCGACTTACTGAGTTTGAAAATGTTAAAAACCTTAACATTTTCACAGCACATGAAAATTCTGGTTCTGGTTGGTTAGCATTGATTCTGTGTTATATGGAAAGTAAATTTATTGTATTAAAATAAATGTCATATTTAGGCCTACTGTTTTAGACTGTGTTGTAGTTTGATGACGCAAATTTTTCATACAATTTCAAAATGAAACATCTACAGGGTTTGGTAAAACCTTTTAGATGACAGGTTTATATTCTCATTTTGCTCTTTTAAAAGTTGTCATCCAGTGTACTTAATGTGTTTTCAAATACTGTACTGATTTCGAATTGAATGAACTTAGAAATAAGTGCCTAGAACTAGAGCATGCTATATTACTACTCCAGAGTGATGTTAATAAATTAAAGAAAGGGCCCGAAGAAAGTTTATCTGCTAAGACTCAAAGAAAGCCAACTCCACTTGCTAGTGGTCAAAATGCAGTTGAGTTGAACCCTAAACCTCAACACACGTCTACAACAGTAAATTTTAACAAATCCCCTCCAATATTTGCTGTTGTAAGAGGGAAGGAAGAAAGCTTGGAAGAATTTTTTAACAACCACTTGGAGGATTTTCTAGTAAGACAGGCCATAGGTACTAAGCTTACTCTTCGCCCAGAATGTGCCAAATCAGACAACAGAGACACACTCACGACAAAGAGCCAAGATTCTAATCAGCCTCTCGGGAACTTGGATGCAAGTGCTCGTTTGGGGGCTTCGTGTTTGACTTCAGCTGGTGGATCTTTTTTAGACGGAGGTCAGAGCGGGAAAAGTCGATGGAAGCCGACACAACAGTAACTCCACATCAAAACCCGATAGCCAAGGATAGAAAACTTAAGGTTTTTCATCAAAACGTAGATAGAATCTCCAACAAAATTGAAAGGCTTAATCATCTGCTCCATACTTACTCGCCAGATTTGGTTGTCTTAACTGAACACGGGAAGAACCGAGATGAGATCCTCAACACTAGGCTTATGGGCTACTGCTTAGTATCAGCTTTTGCACGTCAAGATATTCCAAAAGGAGGGGTAGCTATTTACAGAAAAAATACAATGGAGAATGTCTCAAGCTTGCATTTGGAACTCCGCAGTATCCCTCTGGTATGTGAGATTTCGGGTGTGTCAATCAAGCTCAAAGACAGGAAATCGCTTTTTGTTATTGGTGTATATCGCCCCCCTAACAGGGATCGTAACCTTGTTGACGAAGCCTTTCGGCTCCTGTCTGACACCTTGAACTCTTTGCCTTCAACTTTCAGGTCCAAAGTTATACTTATAGGTGATGTAAATATAGACCGACTGAAGCCTTCATTGGATTGCTCTCTTTTTAATGACCTTTTATTATCCCACAACTTAACAAGAGAGCAGCTACCAGCAACCAGGATTACCCCTACTACCAAAACATCTATTGATGCTGTGTGTACTAATTTCAGCAAAGACATAATCTGGGAGATATTAAATGCTTCAATCTCGGATCATACTGGACAACTGTGCTATCTTTCTTTTCCTGCTGAGCACACACAAACTAATACATCAACCCGCAGACACATCAACGCCAAGAATCTTCACAATCTTAAGCTAAATCTTGCAGAGGAGAATTGGAACGCTGTCTTTAGTTCTGTTACCGTGGATGATGCATACAACTCCTTTATGCAGTTACTCCTTGAAAACATTGACGTAACTTGTCCTCTGAAAAAGTCTAGACGTAATCACAAACCCGAGATGTCTGCAAAATATGACCACGAAGCTAGACTCCTAAAACAAGAGTTTCTAGATGCTCAGAGTAAGTTCTTGCTCACCAACTGTATCCAGGACAAACAAGAAGCTTCTAAACGGAAGAAGGCTTATGATCTTAAACTTAGATCTCTTAGAAGAGAAATAAGTGCATCTAAGATAAATCAAGCCGTCAACAAAAGCAAAGCCATATGGCAGACCATCAACTGCGAGCGTAATAACAGATGTGATGTTTCCTCAAACTCTGTCAAACTGCAAATCGAAGGAAGGGAAGTGGAGGACCCTGTCGAAGTTGCCAATTTGTTTAATCACTACTTTGCAACTGTGGCTGAAGAAACAATAAGGAACAACCAAAACCAGGAAACCAAAAAGCAAGATCGATCGTCCAGAGTTTCTAGCACTGACAAACACAATGTAGTCTTTCCAATGCACAACCTCAAGCCGGTATCCCAAACGGAGCTCTTAGAAGTGATTAACTCCCTCAAACCTAAATCATCAACAGGGATAGATGGAATATCAGCTAGGATAGTGAAATCCTGCAGACAGGAGCTTCTGCTGCCCTTGCTTCACATAATTCAATTATCACTCACACAAGGTAATTTCCCATCGAACATGAAGACAACGAAGATCTCTCCCCTACACAAAAAAGGAACTCGACTTGACATTGGGAACTATCGACCAATATCTTTGATTCCAACCTTTTTGAAGATCCTGGAGAAGATTGTCTTGCAGAGGCTATTAGAACATGTTTTCTCTAATCAACTCTTGACAGAGAGACAACATGGTTTCGTCAAGGGAAAATCCACAACCACGGCACTTATTGACTTCGTAGAGTCCGTCATTGATGATATAGACAGTGGTAACAACGTTGTCGGCATTTTTGTTGACATGAGTAAGGCGTTTGACTGCCTGAGCCATGACTTGATCATCTCAAAGCTTAGCTCCTTGGGAGTATGTGGAACGGCTCTTGGTTGGTTTACTCAGTATCTGAAGGGTCGAACGCAGCTAGTCGAACTCAGCCACTCCAGGAATAGGACTATCACCACCGTTAGATCTGAAGTACGCCCAGTGTCCAGAGGAGTTCCACAAGGGTCCGTCCTGGGACCGGTACTTTATATCTTATCGACGAACGACCTTCCAGATACCACCGAACCCTTCAGTAAAGCTATAATGTATGCGGATGACACTGTCTTGCTTTCTTCAAACTCACCCATCAACAACGTAGAAGTCAATGCCTACATTGGTTTGAGCCTAGCTGCGGAGTACTGCAACAATCATGACCTTGTTTTCAACGCCTCAAAAACCAAGCTAGTTTCATTTAGCAACAGGAAAAGTTTCGTCTGCTGTATTCCCGACATTGACTCTGTTAGCTCTGTAAGACATCTAGGTGTCATCATTGACGAACATCTCGCTTGGGACGAACACATTGAAGCACTCTGCCATAAGCTAAGCACCGCAATTTTTGCATTGAGAAGAACAATGGCTGTGAGCACAGAAGAGGCGGCACTAACAGCATACTATGCCCTTCTTGAGAGTATTCTCTGTTATGGCATTGTGGTGTGGGTTGGATCGTCGGCACAGAACCTTAACAGAGTTCTAATCATGCAAAAGAGGGCAGTTCGAACCCTGACTGGCATTGAGACAACAGATAGTTGCAGACCAGAGTTTAGGAGGTTAAAAATCCTGACCGTAGTCAACCTCATCATACTACGGACTCTTACCATTGTCGACTCTTCCCGGACCTGTCGTCATCAGGAGGTGCACTCATACAACACAAGACGAAGAAATGATTACAACCTTCCTGCTCACAACACAAGGCTCTATGAAGAGAAACCCTCATACATGCGTGCCAAGTTTTTTAACGTCCTTCCCGTCCACTTGAAGTCTCTTCAACCCAGAAAACTGAAGAAAGAACTAAAGTGCTGGCTGTTACATAGACCATTTTACAGTCTGATTGAGTATTTGTCTTGGCAAGAACTTGAATAAATCATCACCGCAAGAACTCTGATCAGCTATTTTTTATTCTTAAAAAATAACAATTTGTAATGACTTTTATATAGCAACTGCACAATTCTGTATTGACGCCCTTTCAATCTTAAAGATTGTAAATAAAGTATTCTTGTATCTTGTATCTTGTATCTTGTATCTTATACTTTCCGTGTTCTTCCTTGTCCGTACGGTATTGATTAAGCTTTTTTTAAGCTGTAAGCGTTGTTATTGTCTTCCAGCTAATTTTCGCAAAGAGTCAGAAACCTTAATAATTTAAAAACCATATAATTCAGTTTGAATTCAAAAAGCTTTTATTTTTCCAGGACCTTACTTGAATCCCTCTTGATGGACAAGCTGCTTCCCCACACAGCTTCAGCTTAGGTCTCTTTTGAAGGTGGGGTAGGAGGACCCGTGTAATCATAAAAAAATGCTTACAGTACCATGAAAACGTTAAATTTTAACTTGAATACTAGCATAAAAATCAATATAGTCACCAATTATGCATCAAGTAATCTAATAATAACAGAAATGTATAACAATTATTGATTTTCCTCAATTTACTTGTTCTAACAGTGAGTGTGGACTCATGCATGTGCCCACTAAACATCCCTCATGCCACGATGCTCCGGGCGTCACCGCGGGTGGGCCCTGGGTACCCGGTGGGATCTCGGGTGGCCTACTCGTGTCACCCGGACTACCAGCTGGTGGGTAACGCCATTCTCACCTGTCAGCAGGACGGGTGTTGGGACCCATACATCTTCCCGGTGTGCCACCCGCGTCATCAGGCCACTCACATCTTTGACAGTAAGTTGTCTAGTTTTAGTTACTTAAGTACTAGATTCTATGAGAGTAGGCCTGTGAAAAAGTTGTAGTTAGGTTAAGTAGTTAACTTTTTCAGACTTCATATTTTAAAGAGTGTATTTAACTTGGATTGAATTTTTTCTGAATTCCTTCTAAATTATTGTCACTTGTCCGAAGAAAAACATCTTCTGAGGTCTCAGTGAATTTTCCATCATCTGCAAAAAAATTCTCCTAGTCTGAACTAATCCCTAATGGTAATTATTGGAAGCTTATTTTATTTAACTTGGCATATTGCCTGTTGTATTCAGCGGCTCAATAAATAATTTGACGTTATGTTTCCAGTGAACTCAGGAGTGTGGGGCGACTATGTGAAGCTAAATACAAGTCTGTTCCTGTCAATGATTGCAATGGCTAGTGTCAGTGTGATAATGCTGTCTGTGTGTCTGGTGATCCTGTGTCGTCCCAACCCAGCCCCCACACCCCCCGTCAATCTGACTCCGCCCCCTGCCACGGACCCTGACAGAGTGGCTCTCATAGCCTTCGCAGATGGCGTGCAAGTGAGTTCTCATTGTGGTAATAGTCATTTGAAGTTGAAAGAAATTATTGTGGTCTAAGTTGTAAAGGCAATATTAGTATATTCAAGAACATAATTGGGACTTATATTACTATATTAGTATGATTACTATTTCTTTAGTGATGTTTGCAACAGGAGCAAAGCAAAAGAATATGTTTGATTTACATCTAAAAACACACCCATCAGTGATAATAAAAAAATCTCCACTTATAGAGCAAAAGTAAATGTTTTCTTTTTGTTACCTTGAAGACCAATTAACATATACTTCCATGAACTTCACTTAAAAGATAGTATGAACGTCTTTTAAGGGGATAGTAAGAGGCCTATGCATTAACCTACCTTTGTGTTAAATTTTGGTTTAGATGTTTACTTCCTTCTAAAAAGAAACACTGACATAAACCACTTCTTCTTTATAGTTAGGCCTACTTTATTTAAAGAAATCAATAATTCATTAACTTTGAATGATTGTTCATAGAACTGTGGTCAGTCTGTGTTGCCCAGCTACGAGGAAGCTGTGAGGGGTAGTCTTGGGGGAGTGTTGAACTACAGACTACACAGACCTCACTGGACCACCATGTTGGGAGGACAGCGACGCGGTAACCGTGACAACAGCAGACAGACTCCTAGGTAGGCTACAGGACTTTGATCTGTAATCTGAGGATTAACACTGTTCTAAATGCAGTTACAGGTCCTAAACTGTACCGTTGACATTGGATACTGAAGTCGACATACAATCTATTAGGACAAGCTGTAGCCCATTTTTTAGTTAAAAAAAATTGCCATTAACAGAGATGCTACGATTCGGTTTTCTAACTTAATTTGTGTATTTGAGATCTTTGATGTGTAATAAAAAATGTTAAACCCCACAATGAGTCACTCCATCAGTTTGACTTGGTTAAAAGATGGCGTATCAGATAGAAATCAGTATTTAAAAATCATCACACTCTGTTGGTTGATCAAAGTCCATTTTAATTCTAAAACCTGCTACAACTTACATGCTGTTGCAATATCTGCTTATGTAGTCAAATTGTATAGCTAACATACTTCCATTAATATTCAACAACACTATAAAACCATAGGTGTTACTAAACCCGAATAACCCAATGTGCTCAGACCTGAAATTCGAGTTTGTTGCAGCATGCGTGACAGTATGGGCTCCACTGACACAGTGACAGTGAGCGAGGTGTCGACCAACGTGACAGTTGACACAGTGTCAAGTCACAGCGGCTCTCAAACTGCATCTTGTCACGCAATCTGTGGATCTCTAGCCTCCTTTGACACCAGCTCTGTGCTCAATACTGACGGTAAGACAACAGCCAACCTCAATATCAGCTGATTTTTTTATGAAAAAAAATTTAGAGTGACAAATAACTTGAAAGATCCCTAAACACTTTTCCCTCATCTCTAAATCACAACCCCGCAGCACCCCGGAATGGGGATACGCGTTCCCGCTTATGGATACCGCAAACGAAACGAATTGCAGAGTTCTGCACTTTTTGCAATCGGGACATCTCTTCCCTTGAGATGCTGTTGCCATATGCAGGAAAACAGTAATGGAGCACTAACACTAGTGACTGTACCAGCTGCAGCTTGGTTGTCTCTGGTAGGATGTTTTTGTATCGGTACAGACCACGCAGCCTTCCCAAAGCCACCTGGGAAACATAAGTGATGTGGTCCAAGAATGTCAGGTCAATGTCAAGGTCCTGACGGTATCCCTCACCATTAAAGGGTTTCCTGCAATTTGAACAAGCATGTCTCCATTTGCAACTCTGTGTAGAGTAGTATCAATATGAAGAATCATGCAGTTTTCAGAGGTAAATTTTAAACGATGTTTACGTGACCATTTACTTATTCTCACCAGATCAGAGTTGACTCCTGCAAATGCTTGATCAGCGGCCTGAATCTCATAGGAGAAATGCAATTGGCAGTCATCGGCATATGAATGCACATTGCAGTGACTCACACATCTGGACAGATCTGCAGTGTACAGCCTTTGACTATCCAATAGTCAATGGTACAGCGTAAACAAAATGGGCCCCAGACAGCTCCCCTGATGATTCATCCTGGGAACTTCCCTTGATTTCGGAGGGGAGATATCGGTACCCACTCTGGTCACTTGCAGTCTGTTTTCCACTTCTAGAATAGGCAATGGTTCGATACTGGCCCTAAGGCCCAGCATTTTTCACAAAAATTGTGAAATACTAGTTCTGACTGAGAAAAACAGCTGATCTTAGTCAGTTAATGAAGCTACATAGGTAATTTCACTTTATCCTACACTCACCCTAACTTCATATTCAACTTTAAATGCTTAGAAAAAGTGTTTCGCTGCAGCAAAGTGACAAAGTATACTGTACTTTCTTAATTCTCTTTGTTAATCTATTGTCACTCTTCGTGCATGTTGAATGAACAAGTTTTACTACTTTGATTCAAAGAGAATCGTTCACAGGTGTTCCATTGTTGGAGGTGAACGAGTTGGAAGAAGTAACCTCCAGCAGCCAAGGAGGCAGAATCGTTCTCGACCCTGACTTTAAACTTCAGAGCGATATTGCTTCCATTCATTCTTAACTTCAACATCCAGTTGAGTGTATATTATTTTGCACTACTTGTTATGCCACAGTTTCATGTTGGATCTTTTAACTTTTCTTCATATTCAAATCGTTAAACTAATGTTATCATTATTGTTGCCAAATGATTCATTCTTATTGCATCTTAAAAGTCAAAGTTTTTGGAGTAGACTAGTTTTAAAATTGTATTTGACATAACAATTTTAAATTATTGTTTGTAATACTCATAATTTTAAACCTATTTTCTAGTGCTTGTAGCTTTAAAATTGTGGTTTGTTTTACAAACTCTAGAAAACTGATTGTAACTAATCAATCCTAGTTAATAATATTGGTTTTCACAATCTAGTCATTAGATGTTACCATACTAAAATCCCCTTTTTTTAGATTAAGTAGTTTCATTCTGAGGTAATGTCTCTCTTAGTCTCTTTTATCCTTAAAAATAATCGATAATGTTTCTGTTTGTTATTTTAGTTGTAGTATTGAGAGTTAAATAAAAAATTAAATAGTTTTCACATATTTTGCTCCAGTACTGTTATGAAATTACTGTCACAATTAAAAGTAGAATATTCTAGACAGTCAGGCTAGAATAGTTAATGTTCAAGGTTAAATTGAGATTTTATTATTTCAGAATTATTTTGAAAGATTATTTATTTTATTGGCGATAGAGGTAGGTCTTCACGTTTTTATCTGCAGTAGGCCTATATATTCAGGAGATAAATATAGTTTTATTTCAAGATTCATGAGGTACCTTTTTATTGTTATTATTAGGAAGATTTTAGTAGAGATACGTGGCAGATTTCACTGTTAAAGTAATCACAGTATTTTTGTTGAAATTTATAACTAGTTCACATTACATTGCATTTTACCATATAGGAAAAAGATTAAGAGCTGGCTATTTGTTTAACTATTTGTATAAATTATGATTTAAAATGTGCAGGATACTGGTAATATGTCTAGTCCACATTAGCTTTTTTCTTTCTATTTGCTCAATACATAATATATCATAGACTATTCTGAAATAATTCATTTCTAATACTTATTTTTAAGTTTCGTACCTGTCACATATAACACATGCATAAGTACAATAATTTTAGTATAGTTTTTCAATAGAAGCCAGGAAACTATTTTTAATGTTCCTAGTAGTTAAAGCAATTTTTAAACGTATGGCTCTTGCAATAGTAGATAAACAAAAGAAAAACACAAACAAAAGGTTAAATATAAAAATTATTGTTATCATTTTTTTACTATTTCTCCCTTTTCCCAATTGAAGTTTATCTTTTTAACCATTACTTTACCTAACAATTAGCTCAAACTTGGTTTTAAAAAGCCTAAAACTGTTTTTACAAGATATTTTCATATCTTACTCGCCATATAAAATAGCTTACTCTCTATATGGGAAATTCGCTAAAAAGCTGCATCTTATAGAGTTAATTATTGCAAGATGCCTAATGATGTATAATGTTGTCTGTAGATAACTTTTCTTCCTTTGAGATCATTTACAAAGGTTTTTTTGTTTGTATATTTGTGAAGATGACTCGTTGTACATAAAAATCAACATTATTTTTATTGTATTCACTTACTTTTAAATTGCTTAAAATGATTACAGTATTGATAAATTACTCTTGAAGTATTAAAACCCTCCTGAGTGTCCCTTGTTTTTGCCTTAATGTCCGCCTATTTTTGGCGCATTTGCAAGGTTTTATTAAAACGGATCTGAGAAGCTTAATCAGCTTGATGTTAATTCTACTATTCTATATACCATTTTGTTTGGAAAATCATGGGCTTCAATATTATACATAAAACATAAGGAACATTTGTTTCAAAAAAATTTTTTAGGTAAAAAAAATATTTTGGAAAATTTTCAAAAAAAAAATAAGTTCCCGCTCAATGAAATTGTATAAATTATAGGCCTATAAATATTTGAAAATAGCCACTTTGTTCTAAATTTTATGAGGATTACAAATATATAATAATATAAGGAAGTAGATTTGCAAATAAATAAGTTATGGGCAAAAAACAGATTTCAGTACATAGCGTTTAGCTATGAATGCATAGCCTAACCATAGCTAGGAATCTGGCTGATAATTTACATCAATATCACTACCTACTTCTTCAGGATCATCAACCAGCCCTTCAAAATAACTTAAATCTTCTTATAATGTACCACGTATATCACTACTTTTGATTTTTAATACTAAAACAATGATAAACGTAATAAAACACATCAGTCATCGGTCCGAGGTTAACCAAGCTGTTTACAAATACGCACGTCAGCTGTCTGCTACAATATTTTCGGAACTAAATCAATAGCGCTTAGAGACAGACCTCCGGAGAAAGCTCTGAATCTAACAAAAAGAACGATACCTAACTCGATTCAGTTAAATCCGATTCAGTCAGTCATAGAGCCTTCACCGTAAACGATGTTCGTGTGTCGAAAAATCGACAAGTGACACTACACAAAGTGTGTCGTGAATCGATTTTTCGACAAGTGACGCTCGGAGGGTTAAAAAACTTCAAGTTAATTAAATCAACTGATCACCATAAGAAACTAAGTATTTTTACCAAAGTCTTGCTGTTTCATGTTGCTTGGCTCCACAGTAACATATTTTAAAACCTTCTCACTAAAACAAATAAAAGTGTAAATATTAAATGAGTGAGTGACTGATGTGCTCTTAATGTAAGATATTGTTTCTTTAACAGGTTTTTGTTTATATGTCATGTTTTAATTTTTCTGGCAGACTTGTGGCATGATTTGCTTTAGTTTGGATATTTAAACAGTTTGAGCTCTTAAAGATCAAACTAAACATACCTTCACATTGAGATATTAAACATAACTAAAAAAACTGCCTGAAAGACGTGCCCGACATGTGTTGCTTCGTGGGACTTAATTCCAGTCAATGTTGAAATACGTTCAATTGAATGAGTATTAACCCGACCATAGACCAAGTGTTACAATCTAAACCTGTTATTGTGGAGCTATTTTATTTGTTAAATGTCAGTGTCCACAGAAAGCTTACCTTTTTGAGACAAACATTTTGTAAACTTTTAAAGTAGGTGGTAAATGTGTCTTTGTATAGCACTTAGATTATCTAACAAAAGTTTTAAATAGCTCAGATATTTGTCTGTTCTTTTTCTAAAGCTGCTATGTATTCTCCTGATATTTTAATTGTTCATATTAAACATAGAGCTTTCAATTTTGTGCTTCCAATAAATATAATTTCAACAAAGTATTTGTATATTTATGAATTCTACAATGTTACAATAACAGAGAATATTTTACTTATAAAAGTGACTCATACAACATAAATTATTTTAAATGTAAATACAAACCATTTCAAAGGTTGTGTTAGCTCAAAGGATTTGTCAGATGAGTAGCATCATTCAATGATTTTTATATAGGACTTTTCCTAGCCTGTTGAATAATTATTTTACGTTTTTAGACACAGTTACTGATAAAATAGTTATGCTGGAATTTCTGCTAAATTATCAACTAAACTAGTACAGTAATAATAGTTTTAGAGATTTAACTTTCTAAAGATTCAAAATATTTAGATAGTACTTGCTTAGGATTTAAATGCAGTATTATGATAGTCAGAGAATCTAGTTTTATCTATTTAATTAGTTAAACAATTAGACCCTTTAAAAACAGAAATCCCGTACAATAAATTTTTTCAGCTCTGTTCTTAAGATCATGTCTAGGATTTCCCCCCCTTCGAAATCACAGGCAAAGAATTATGTCATTTAGATAAAAGAACTTTAATTTTGTCAAGTGTTAGCCAATTTACTGGCTTAGTTAGCTATATTTGTGAATGTAAGCTTTCTGGGTTTATTTCATTTGTGAGTTAAATTTATTATACTTTTTTCTTCGATGTTGAAAAATTTGTTATTTTTAGATGTTCAGTGCACTGTAATCTAGTATTAAGGCATATTGTGGAATAAGTATTGCAAGACAACATAAAATAATTTCAGAATTAATATTTGTGAAAAATCAAGAAGCTTTTTCAGTACGGTAATGGTTTTTTTAACCTCTGAACATATTATTGGGGATAACTATAAAAACCTAATGAATATTTGTCTTTTTTTTATTCACTTCATCATTTGTTCTTAGTATTCTAAATTAAATTTGGTCTATCTAAGAACATTTTAGTTTAAAAAGAACATTTTGTGTTTAGAGTGTTAGTTCAAGTGTTATGACTTAAAAGGCAGAAAAAATATTGAAGCATTTTTATGTCAGAATGCTAGCTACGTTATTTACAAATCATTGTGGAGTTGGTCAGAAGTTTTCAACAATTTAAATAATATGGAACATAAACTCATAACAAACAAAAAATATTACTGATTGAACAGACACAAATCACACGTGTGAAACAACACTGTTGGAGAGTTAAGTTGTGATTGTTCGTAATAATAAACAATTGTAGAGTGGTCGGCCATTATTAAATGTATTATTTTCAAAACGGAGAACGGCAACAACCAAGTTTACTGACAATTTTATATCTTATATTTTATTGATTACAAATTAAAATATTTTTTAGCTAAAATTATTTACTTTTATTTAACATGTCCACAGAGTTCTGGTCCCATACTTTTTATTTATTTATTCCCTGGAAAAGTGATGCATTACAATATTTATTCTATGGTATGGTAATTCTTATGATAATTTTGTAGATAGAGTATATTTATTGTATAATTGTAAATAAATGTATACTTAATAAGTTAACAAAACTGTTGTTATAAATTCCTGTAATTTATGTGAGTGCTATATGCAATAAATTGTATTTAAATATTGGGTCCTTGCCAGGGTTTCTCTAGAAAATGTTGGATTCCAGAGAATTGTGTAGAGAGCATCAAAACCCAATCAGGTTCAACCCAACAGTGTATACATTCACCCACTGGCAAACAGCATTTATTGTGAAATCTAATGTGAACGCAACACATTATGAATGAAAGTCTGATAAATTTTGTTTGCGTTACTGGAAATACAAGCGCCAGAGCCAAACCCCAAAGTAAAACCAGATTTTTACGCCAATGATGATTAGTAGGGCCTTTGATTAGCAAATTTTAAAATGAATCTGGCAAATCATACAAAGGTTTCCTCAGGAAGTAAATGTTTTCAATTTATTTTTGCAGAACATGTTCCTAACATTAAACGTTAATATCTCTGGGTACGAATGTGAGGAAGCAGATCTGAATGACTCTATACTCTATCCCCCTCCACGCGCAAGAGACATACACAATAACCTAACCCAACTTTTCTAATCATTGTTTACTAATTCAATTAGCAAGTTAGAGAGGCAATGTAAACTCAGTAGTACAACATTCTAATTGCAAATTCACTTTATTGTTCCTTTAGTTACAAATATGAAAATCTCCCTGTATAGAGTATAAAATTAAGCACAATAAAGAAACTATTTTGTTCTTCACAGTTACAAAATAATGGTCATATTATAAGCCTAAAGAAGCACTTACAGATCTATATTGAATTTTAATATCTTAAACGTATGCTAGCTCACTATCAATGAAGAAATAAAACATTTATAAGAAGGTTTTTTATCATAAAATGATCCTCTACAATTACTATTTGAACAAATCTTTGGTTTATACACATAGGCCTACTTAAATAAATAATAATAATGGGCCTACACCATACACTGTCAGTACATTTCAAAATTTGTATCACAATTAAAGTGGCAATGAACCTTTTTTTAAAATCCATGTCCAACCTAATGTAAAAATATACTTAAATAATGAATATATGAAAATGTTAAGTGGGTATTAAAAATGAATATAGCCACTAGATTCCGATACCTCTCTCGGATGGATAAAAATATTATAAATAGGTTAAAGTTCTGGCACCTATATTCTTACAAATAGAGCACTGTATTCAATATAAACATGTTGAGTATGTATCAAAAAGAATAAAAATAACAATACTGCATTCCCTAAACTTTAGAAATATCATAGTTTAAAATACAAACTGATTTCTTAACCGTTTTGGATTTTATTAGGAGGTAAACATATTAAACAATCTTCTTTTTACAAACTAAGTTAACCCTACAATGTATGGTACTTTTGAATCAATTTAATAAAATGTCAAACAACAAACAAATTACAATATCTCATGGGTAATTCATAAATCTCAAAGAAATAACAATAACAAAAGTGTGAAATGTAATCTACATTTTAATACTAATTTTGTTGAGAAAAAATTTGATCTAATATTCATAATAAAAGCACTGACTAAAAATATACAGACACATACCTTTCTCACAGTTTAAATGACTAGAATAGGGTTTATAATAAATGTCATGTGTCCAAAAAAGGAGTCAACTTTCTAGACTAAGCTACAACTACTTTTCAGGTTGGCATCTACATGCATTATTAAATAAACTCGATAAAACAGTTTTGATATGACAAAATGGTTGATGATTATTGATTTCCGCCTTCAGCCTTTCAGGGTCATATTCAGTTCTTAAGATTTTCTATATAAATAGGTAACTGCTGGTTTCCCTGCCCATTTCAATATCTTTCATCAATCTCTTTTTGTTTATACACTAGAAAATTCTGTCAAATCGAAATAGGCCGTATTTCTCATTAATCCACACTTTTATGATCTACCAATATAAAGATTAGAATCATCCTAATGTTCAATAGTCAAAAAAAAAAGTATTACAAATTACATTTGCTTTGTCAGATCTATTTTTATTTGGTAATTCAATCTAGGTGTAATTAATTACAAGCAAATAAACTTAACCATACTGTCAATATTTTCCTGGATTCTATGTAGGAACTATAATCTGGCAATCCATTGCATACATTCTTTTATTTCAGTGCAAAACCAACGGTATTAAAATCAACTTAGTGCATAGTTTATCTTTTACACCCCTTTCTGTCTACACCTTTTTTTGGCTCTAAAGGTACATCACAAACTTGGAATGGATCCAATCCAATGAAACTTTTGAATGAATTCAATTTTAAATTGAATGTAAACAATATATTAATAACAATCAAACTTTGTTCGATTTAACAGTTTTTAGGCAGCACTTCCTTCCACCAGTTGTCGGGATAGTGGTACTTTTGTATCTCGATGCCCTCACGAGGGACAGGGACGATGTAGCCACCAAACTCCCGAGAGGGGAGGGGGGCTTTGACCAGACGAGGGGGGAAACAACTGAGCGAGGGAAGGGACTCACAGTCAGACGGCAGAACTCGTCTCTTCCACCCAACTCTGCGCAGCATACCGACCTGAGCAGAAATAGTATAACGATCATAAACATTCAGGACTCTAATAATTTAAATTGAGGTTTCAGTAAAAAAATATCTAAATGTCCACCTCACGATGGCTAGGATTTGACAAATAAGAAAAGATTAACATTTTTAGACAATTAAAAGTAATGAAGATGAAAAAACATGAAATTTGGTGATTTGGTGGCTCAGCCGAACTATGTAAGATGCCACAAACTTCGGACCAAAGAAAGTGATGTCTTGACAATGTTTTGCTGTTCTACGTTTTGAACAGTTGTTTTTATCCTATTTCATCAACACACATACATTGAGTGTATTAAGTGTAAGTAATAGCTTCTTCCCCTTTGGGAAAATTGGTTAAAATAATAAGTGAGCTTTATTTCCTAGAATTTTCTAATTCACATCATTGAATTTGGAATACGCTAGTAAATTTTCATCCAAATTTAACATTTGAAGCCAATTTTTATGCATGTTCCATAATAGCCTCCTCTAATACAAAGCCGTGGCGAGTAGCAATGCCACAGTCCCGGCCTACCAAAACTGCTGTAGCACTAATTCATATGGAGCATAGGTCTATGGAATTTGTATGTTCATCTGTTTTTTATTACCTACTGTTACTACGCCATGGCAATAGGTAGGCAAGTGCAATGTCCCACATTGTTTGTGTTAGAGGAGGCTATAGCTCCTAATTGGTAACGTTAAGCGGGTGTTGATGAATAAATGTTTACTAGTGTCCCTGTTGCTCGAATTCGAGCAATTGCTAAGTAAATATTTGTTGCAAACTGTTATAATACTATATTAGCAAACTTATTGACTGTTTAGGATTAACCTATGCTCTTCTTCTCACTTTTGATTTCTGACAACAGCTGGAGTGTTGTTTCATAACAATTTTTGTTTCCAATGTTAATCTTATGGAGAAATACGAAACTTTAAAGGGCTCCAGGGCCTCACTCTCTCATTATTTCCCTAAAAAGAAAGTTTCCTGCACAACTTCACGCTACGCTCTTTCCAATGACACCAAAAACAAGACAATCGGTTCAGTAGTTTCAGAGGAGTAATTGTCACAAAAAATCTGCTTGCGTATTAAATAAGTACGAGAGGTCGTCCAGTGGTCGAAACTCGACCAAAAATATGTAATGTAAACTTGCTCACTTCTCTATTTTCACCCCACACTGTAAATAAAACATGTGATTGGAGTTTCTTCCATTTGTTTTGATTTTCTGTTTATATTTCGTTGTTATTTCGTCACCAGCATGGCAACGCATAAGATCCATGTTAATTTTTTCAAATTTTTAAACTAATTTTTTGTGCTTATCTTTGAGCCTATTTAAATTTATAAAGGGATTCTGCACACCTACAGGAAAATAGCTTTCTAACGGTATGCGTAGATTTACCCCACGATGCACACGAGCTGAGAAAAAAGGTTTTAAAGAAACATGCTTGCCTATTAATATATAGATAGATATTTTATTGGTAAATTTGTGATTTCCTTTATAACAATGGAAGAATTGCTATTTGTGTATTAAAAGCGCAAGTTACGTGATTGCTGCTCAAGAGCTGTTGTTGGCTGCAGGAAACTTCAGTTGAGGGCGGCCATACATTTCGAGAGGGGCAATGACTGTACTCATAATAACAATATTTTTCTTATCACAATAATTAACTTATCATAACATACAGATTAACTTTTTAGTTGTTTATGAAATGTAATTTAAGTTATGTTTGCTTTTTTAGGTTAAATGTTACTTGCTTACTGTGGATGTTAGTGTTTTATAGAAACACGAAAAATGAAATCAGTATATTTAGGAAGCGGTAGAATAAAAGCAGAATTAATAAACTATGTTATGTTTACTAAAAGATGTGACAATGTGATAATTCCCATGCAGTGGCAGAAAATAGCTATTGTGAATCATTTGGCAAAAACCTTTTTTATATTTGAAATAGAAAGAAAAAAATAGTAAACATCATGCTCCCCCCCTACTTAAATCAGACAGTGCTCACCTTAAGATTGCCTTCAGCTGTTTGATAAGGATGTTAAATTTAAGAGGCAGTATGTTTAACTTACATCTACAATCTGACAACAAAACACATACCATGGGATCTTCTTCAAATACAATCAGCTCTATCCTAGCATCTGGCACTGTTGTGTCTGTTACTCTGTATTTACCATCAGTTGAATCGTACACCAGATGCATATTGTTTTTCCTGAACTGACGCTCCAGAAACACCTAAACAAACCCATGAAAATTACAATGATTTCCAGAAGAACACTTGAGGTGAGTAATCTGGTAAAATCATTGCATGACAGTAGAGGTCTTGTTTGAGAAGTAGGGAAACACTGAAAACTAAAGTGCTGTAATATTGCTACTACTGCATTACAACATCATAGTGTTAAATGTCAATGTACCTACCTCATCTTTGAGAGCAATCTCCTCGTTGAGCACACACAGCTCTATGTCTCTCTCCCATGGTAATGTACGAGACAATCTCAGCTGACCCCATAGAGCCCCGTAACACAGAAAATGAGTGATTCCAAGACTAGCAAGCAGTCTGTGAACTCTGTAAACAATACAACTACCGTACAGTATTTGAAAATGAGTTTATAACTATGATATAACTTAATTGCTGAATCTTGATTTTAGTTAACGTAGTCTGAATCTAAGTTATGCCTAAATCCTGAGCAGCATCAAAACCTAACCTAGTTAGTAATTTGATATGGACAGATAAAAAAATGAGCATACAGCACTTATCACACAACTAAGTTACCTGTCAGAGAGGGCGTGTAAGCCATCTTGGAAAGCTTCTGAATGATGACAGGTTTGTGTATATGATCGTGAATGACGCAGCAAAGTCCACGTCAGTAGAAGCCCCATCAACAAACACAGACATGACAGTAAACGTGACGGACTGAATCGCATTCTGGAACAAATATTCTATTTGGTAGGTACCGGTAACTTACTTTAGAAAAACAATACCGCTAATTACTGACTGTTGGTTAGTACCTATTTAAAAAGCCCATTGAAGTCACGTAGGCTATTAACCCTCCGAGTGTCCATAGTTTAGGCCTTAATGTCCACCTATTTTTGGCCCCTTTGCAAGGTTTTATTAAAACGGATCTGAGAAGCTTAAAACAATGTTAATTCTAATGTTCTATATACCATTTTGTTTGGAAAATCATGGGCTTCAATATTATATATAAAACATAAGGAACATTTCTTCAAAAAAAAAATTTTTAGGTAAAAAAAATATAATTTCGAAAATTTTCAAAAAAAAAAATAAGTTCGCGCTCAATGAAATTGTATAAATTATAGGCCTATAAATATTTGAAAATAGCCACTTTGTTCTAAATTTAATGAGGATTACAAATATATAATCATATAGCGAGGTAAGTTATCAAATAAATAAGTTATGAGCGAAAAACGGATTTCAGTACATAGCGTTTAGCTAAGAATGCATAGCCTAACCATAGCTAGGAATCTGGCTGATAATTTACATCAATATCACTACCTACTTCTTCAGGATCATCAACCAGCACTTCAAAACCACTTAAATCTTCTTATAATGCACCACGTATATCACTACTTTTGATTTTTAACACTAAAACAATGATAAACGTAATAAAACACATCAGTCATCGGTCCGGGGGAACCTAGCTGTTTACAAATACACGCACGTCAGCTGTCTGCTACAATATTTTCGGAACTAAAATGAATAGCGCTTAGAGACAGACCTCTGCAGAAAGCTTAGAATATTACGGAAAGAACGATACCTAACTCGATCCAGTTCAATCCGATTCAGTCAGTCATAGAGCCTTCGCCGTAAACGATGTTTGTGCGTCTTAAAAGCGACGCGTGACCCTACACAAAGTGTGTTGTGCGTCGTTTTTATGACGCGTGACACTCGGAGGGTTAAATGTTCAAATGTAAGCAGAACTTTTTAGTGCACATTTTGGGAATTTATGTTACCGTAGGCCTATTTTATTTTGGAAGGAACTAAAATAAAGGCTTTCCCTATCCTACACAATTGCAAATAAGTTAGTATAGCCTAATTTTACGTAGAAGCCTTGTAGGACCTGTGCTAATATAAGTTAGACCTATATATAACTTAAGTTAAATAAGTTACGGTAATAATTAATATAAAATAAAAAATATAAATTAATAAACAATGCACCAGTAGGCCTACATTATTAAAAACTTATGGGTCAGCAAAAACCTGGGGTAAATTTACACTTCCGTATTTGATGTCAAAAACAACCGAATGAAAAATTATTCGATGTAGGTTAACGCAACTAAGTTAACCAAACGATCCTATATCAATCGATACTTTCATTCGGTGGTTTTTGACAACAGATACGGAAGTCTACCCAAACCTGCAGCAAAAAAGCTAAATAAGTTAGCCTACACAATTTTCAGGTGATGGATAGTAGGCCTAGGCCTAACAATTGAAAGTAAAAAGACTAAATCAAAGAGCGACCTGTTAAAATAAAATAAAGTTCGGTATTCAAGATGAACAATATTGGCTTTATCATGTGTTTTTGTTAGGGGTTAGGCCGAGGCCTACTTATATAACAGTGCACTATGTTTAAATCTATGCTACAGTATGAGTTGTCCTGCCTACTACCTAGGATAAAAGTTATCAATAATTACTATATGGCTTATTAACTTGGCGGTGTTTTTCATCTTACCTTTAAAATCATAGGAATAATTTTACCATATTGACTGTAATTTATGTTTTTATAACTAACTAAAACAGAATTCCTTCAGTTTTTAAAATTCTTGTGAGACAAGTTTAACCTATTAATTCCTCTATGATTCGGTAACATTTCCTTAGTTTTGATTCAGTCAGTAATCAGTTTACCTCACATTTATAATTGGCTTGCACTCTAACCAAAATTTTTAAGCCGACGTAGCCTATAGTACGAGAACGATTATTAACTTGTTTTGTTTTAGATCTCCCACTCAAACAATATCAATATAGGCCTAAACAGGAAAATAAATTTCAGACGAACGAAACATAACCTCTACAAAAATGCAAACAGTTGTTTTGGACGTCTTATTTATTTTTGTCCTCTCTTGTCCAGTCTGTTTCAAAGCAGGTTTCTTGTATTTATCATGCAACTGCAGAACTCAGCACTTTTACTTTTCTTAATTTCTACCATGGATTAATCAGCACAAGGGATTTCAAAATTCAAGGATCTATTTGGCCATTCAGTTTCCTTTCCACAATGTGCTACATCATGCAAGTACATTAACTAAAACATTTATATACAATTCACTATAACTAAATATATATAAAACAAACCAAAACAATACTTCCCAAGTCCAAACAGCAAGCCATTCAAATAAATATATAAAAAAATAAAAATTATTGAAATTGAAAAAAGCGATGACTTAAAGAACTGGCTATTAACAAATCCTTTCTATAGTTTTGACGATTTTCTTAAAGGGCAAATAATGTAACAATTAATTCAAGAACCCAATGAATATAGTCAAAGTATGCTTAACATGTTTCGAATGCTAACAGACAAAGCATTGAATAATTTGAAACCTGAAACTGAAACAGAGGCAAACATTTTTGAGTTTTACCACAGATAAAACATACTCCTCAAGGAGGAGTTTGAGGAGTTAAGAGTTTGAGTTCGGAGTTGAGGAGTCCTTGAGGGGTATGATGTTTTATCTATTGCTAGAAATGTTGTTTTATCATTACAAGTGAGGCGGTCCATTCCAAAACTCACTTTATCCTTTTTTTTAAATTGATTTAATGGTATGACTGCATTCAGCAGAAAAAGGTGCATTTATTTGCTATAAAATATCGTGTCAAAACTTGTTTAATCCTACTATTATTTAATGTTATAATTTCCAAAATCTCACTTTATTTCGGTTGTATAATTCGAAAACTCACATAATCCCCCAGCCAAGGAGGGTGTATTATTTGTTGTTTTTCCAAAACCATCTTTATCCTTTTAAGCCGGGTTTTCCTAGGCGCGGAGTCGGCGAGCGGAGAGAGGAACGTGGAGAGCGGAATTAAAATTAACATGGCATTCCGCTCCGCTTTTAGGAAAACAGTAACATTAAATTGCCTAAGACAAGTGGAGTCCGCTCTCCGCGTTCCTCTCTCCGCTCGCCGATTCTGCGCCTAGGAAAACCCGGCTTTACCCAATCGGTGGCCTGAATTAATTCAGTCATGTGACTTTGTTTTGTTGTCATTTTGGCTCTGTCGTCTGACTACTGTACCACATGAGGAGTGTAGTCTGTAGTCATTGTGATTTGTGAAGGATCCCTGCTCAGGATGACAGTTTTGTAGTTTAGAAGGGCATTCTTGCTCTTAAAGTACCAATCAATTAATTTGAAAGATGTTAACATAAGTAAGTTTCTCACTTTTCATTTTAACATTAGTCCAGAGAACGTAATGACCTTTACTTCTGTATGGCAATTCTTTTACTGTAAAATTAAAACAATTCATGAAACGTTTTTTATAATTTTATAGCATTTCCAGTAAGTACCACTTTAAAAAACATAACATATTAAGGTTACAAGCCATATTATTAGGTCTATTATCTTAATATTTTGTTGTATTGTTTAAAACCAAACTGATTAGTGTTATGCCATCCTAGTGTAAATACTGTCTTTCCAAAACCAACTTTATCCATAGTTTTATCCATAGTCAGAGCAAAATTAACTTTATCCAATTTGTGTCAGGGCAAAACTTACTTTATCCACATTTACAACTTATTTTTCTCAAAAACTACAGATAATAGGACGAGAAGGCATGCAATAATACACAAAGACTCATATATTTTACTTCAGATGAAACAAAACATAATAATTCACTGTCAGGATAATTAATTAAAAGTTTTTTTTTCATTTCCTGAAAATTTTTAAAATAAGGACATTGTGAGTTTTGGAATGGACCGCCTCAAGTCCTGCTATTACGGATGGATGTCTTTATTGAAAATTTGTTGAGCGTAGCTAAGCGAAGCTCTTTGGAATCGGCTTCATTGCAAACTTTCTAATACTATCATTTAATAATGGCTTAACATATTTTAGCCAACCTTAAAAAGGTTGTTTCGACAAATGTTTGGAAGGTTTGAGACGTCAAAATTCCAATTTTTGATAATGCGGCCTTAACTCAAAGTTTTCAAATTTTAACATTGGCCTGGTTATATATTATGAATAATATTATTAATACTACACCCATTTGGAAACTACCACTGATACAGTACAGAATTTAACAGATTTTATTATTATAATCTAAATTATCTAGTGTACATGTTGCTCGAATTCGAGCAATTACAAAGTATTACAGGAGTTATTTCAGATTGAATAACAGTCATATTTACAATGACTTTAAAAGAGTCAACTCAAATATTACCGTTGTGTAACTCAGACCCTGTTTATCTTCGTTATTGATAAACCTAAAGCATTTCGGACGGTTCTCTCCTTCTCAAAATGCCTCGCTGTACAGGCAACACAGGTCATTAATAGAGGGCCAATTGAGAACGAAAAGTCGTTTTGGGGTAGTGTAAGGGCGCATTTGTAACCAAATAGTTGAAGTTGTCCAGGTTCAGGTTCAGACTGTGATGAGTTAAGCCTATTACGCGCCACTGTTCTGTAGCTGCGGTCGTTATCACGATTGCGCCTCCTGTCTATGTTTCGTTGTCGTTGCGTCGGAGACATTTAAAAGAAATAAACAACAAATAATAAACAAATTATAGCTACACAAAACAACGATAAATGCACAAATTTAAGTTACAATCATGCTAACACAATCCATCATAGCGACACAAAACAACGATAAATACACAAATTTAAGATACAACTATACTAACACGATCCGTCTTGGGGGTTATGTTTACACAAACTCAAATAGTAAATATATGTACTCAATGTGTTTCATTGAATTGAAAAGTAAATAACAGCAATAAAATTATACAGCTGATCAAAATGTAAACAATTATGTTCTTCATAAGGATAACATGGGAACTTTCAAAGCCACTGGGGCAGAGCCCAAGGGACTTTTTCAAAAATGTAAGGTCAGTTTGCAAATCTACGCAACACGCTCTTTCCAATGAGACGTCAATGGATAAAATCGGTTAAGAAATGGCGGAGGAGTTCAACCGACAAACTTTCGTGTAGCGTATTAATTATATAGATTAGGGTAGAACAATAATCTTATGTGATTGGGAAATATTAGTGCTTAGTGGACACTTATTGATTGATTTCTACTATAAAATTAATTTGTTGTTCAATTAGAACTAGAGCTATTAAGGATAGCTTGGTCCAGATGCCTAGGTTTAACTATAAGTGTCACAGTATCAGTATTAAGCAGCTTTCCCTTGTACATTGATAAATAGATGGGATTTGGACTTTGATTTAGTGACGATTTAGATAACATCATTGAAGTGGTAAACTGTCTCTACTACAGGTTGTTACCATCATGGTTCTGAGAAATATGGTAAGTCATTTCTTAAATTAATTCAATATTACTTCTGTGTCCTTTAGCATGTCTCTTTACAATATGTTTATGTTTATTTTACATAATATACAGCATGAACAAAATACACACTTTTAAAATACATAAAACATTATAAAATATACTCTAAGATTAAAATAAAAAGCACAATTCTGCATTACTCAATTGATTTATAAGAAAATCAGCAGACATAGGCAAGTGTGCTGCATGTGCGTCTGCTGGGTTGCTATTACCAATTTTAAAAATCTAATCCTATTGAGTTATCTATATATTAAGGCAAGCATGTTTCTTTAAAACCTTTCTTCTCAGCTCATGGGCATCGTAGGGAAAATCTATGCATACTGTTAGAAAGATATTTTCCTGTAGGTTTAAAGAATCCCTTTATAAATTGAAATATGCTCAAAAATAAGCGCAAAAAATGAATTAAACATTTTACAAATTTAACATTGGTCTTATGGGTTGTCATGTCAGTGACGAAATAACAACGAAATATAAACAGAAAATCAAAACAAATGGAAGAAATTCCAATCACATGTCTTATTTACAGCATGGGGGGGAAATACAAAAGTCTGAACAATATAGATATTTTTGGTCGAGCTTTCGACCAAAGAACGACCTCTAGTGAAAATTAAAGTTAACTGTTGCTAAAAAAAAGTTTAGGAAAAATATTCATATATTGAAATTTTTACTTTTTATCAAAACTGTATTTTGTTCAATTTGCTTATTAGGCCTATCTATAAAAGAGGAACTATGTATGTATGTGTGTATATATATATGTATATACGTTATGGACTCCGAAACCACTCAACAGATTGTAATGAAACTTTCAGGCATTATTAAGCATCTTTCAAGGATGGTTCAAGCACTGAAGTTTGGTGCAGATCCGTCAAAAGGGCTCTGCCCTAGAGGGTTTTAAGTGGGCCAATGTCAGACTTTTTGATCTACAATGTTTACAAATAAATATACTTTAAAAGCAGATGTTTACTTTCACCAACTGTTTTGCAGGTTTGAATAATCACAACATTCTGTATTAGCATTAGTCATGATTTGAAATAGTGCCACAGTGTTTCTACAGAGTGCAGCGAAGAAAACTATTTTACTTTTGAATTAGTCCAAATGTATTAAACAACGTTTAAATTCTCCAATGTTAAATATTAAAAACATAAAAACCATTATCAAAGTAATATAAACAATAAAAGGGATGACAATGCCTTAATATTTTTATCTTTCATTCTATACCCACATAATCTAACATAAATTATTAAGTGAATAAAATCGTGCGTGCTATCTCGGGTAGGTATTCAAATGCCTCGCAATTTGTCATCACCCCACCACATTAGTGTCATTACAAGAAGGAACTCCAATTATACTAATGCGAAACTTAAATCCTCTTAAGCTGTACATCTACCAGACTAACGATTTAAAAAATGATGTCAAAATTGATTAGAGCAAAAATTATCAGTGGTAGGTTTAAGGGAGAAAGAGTATTAATCATAAGAATACTGATGATTTCATCCGAATCACCCTCTGAATTTAAGCAACTACAATTTCCTTAGTGTCTTGCTTTTGCAATCACCATTATAAGGCACTAGGGCAATCCCTGACTATTCGGTTTAAATGAAGAAAAAACATGCTTTTCACACAGACAGATGTATTTTGTTAGCGCAGCAACACGCGCCGGGTAACTGCTAGTATCCTTATATATAATACGTGAAGGCGATTTCTAGAAAACACTACTCCTCCGTTAATAATGGACGGATTTTTACAAACGACGTGTCAAATTAAAGTATTTTTTGTGTAGACGCCCCCTTTCACCAATTCATGTAGTAAAAATCCTCGGGCTTTGCCCCACAGGCCATCAAAGTTGGAGTTTCTCCCATAAGATTAACATGGGGGAATCTAAATATTTGATTGGAAACTTTGTCCCCACTAATTTGAGAGAACGGTTGGACGTAGAAACTTGGTAGAGGTGTCTAAAGAAAGGTCTTGGTCTGTAGATGAGTTATCAAAAGAAAAACTAAGCAAAATCCCTTAGGACTCTGCCCCAGAAGCCTTAAAAGATCCCTCCACAGAGTTGTTTACATTTTGGCCATTAGAATAATACTTTTTAATGAAACAGCTGTTCATTTTTAAATTGTATTTCAAACAACACATATTTATTGGGAGTTGAATTCTACCAAATAAGTATTTGCAATGTTATTTTCTGATTTTAAAATTGATTTTCTTCTTTATCATGCCATGTTTTGCAATATAACGTTCCATTACGAAATCAGTGGAAAATCCTTTTATCACAGCAATTCTTAAATTATTTCTTATTGAACTACCTATCTTATATCTATTGTACGGGTTGGTGTGTGCCTTTTTCGCCACTTTTGCCTACATTTTATCATATTATTCTACAAAATATCAAATATTTATGTAGAAATATCTGCTCTTATTGTGTCTAATAAAATCCAAACTTAGAAACATTGTCTAAAATGGTACCTATCTTGACAAATTATTTGCACCTGCTTATATTACGGACTTTGGCGCACCGAATTTGTAACATTATTGAAAATAACACGACATTTTGGCTGTAAAATATGGTACAAAGAGAAAATACAGTTTAAGCAGCTACTGTCATGACAGAAAGGTCATATTCCTTTTAAACTAGATCACATAATCCTTTGACTGGGACGGGTGGCGTCGTCCTGTAATCCAGCTACTAGGAGGTCACGAATTGTGGATATTTATAGGAATGCACTGTGGATGCGATACTCCCTGGTGTGGATTAACGTCCGCACGAGTGAGTACTACGACTACCCGCAGTGCTATCCTGATAATTATACCAATTCATAAATACCAATGCAAAAAAATTTGGTTCCAATTCAACTATAAACTGTAGGTCCCTTG